TTTCTCTCTTTTTTTAAAATCAGCTGTCTCTTAAATAATAGTGTGCCAACAAAATTTCAAGTTTGCCCAGTGTTCCTACTGTGCTATAGTTGGCATGATCATTGTATTTTCTCACATAACTTATTGTGACATGGCAACATACGGAGATATGGAATTTTCTGATTTGAAACAACATAGCTGTCTGGATCAATTTTTCTTATATAGAATACTTGGAGAAACCGTAATAAAGATAACAAGAAAATGGAGAAAAGTGAAATAATATTTTCCTTCGCATGAGTAAATGATGGCAATGCTAATCGGGATAAAGTAGAGCCAAGACATAAAAAGTGGGAGAGAGAACAAGCAAATAAGTAACACTTTTCTTTTTTTACAATTTTACATTTTATATATATTCTTTTTATAGTTTTTTATTTTATTCATGTGTTAGCTTTTTGTTCCCTGGATGCTTCTCATCCTTAGTACAAGGTGCAGTCATTTTCTCATTGAAGTCTTTTGCAATTATACTCACGGTCTTGGTTTGTCTATGACGTTTTATTGAGCAAAATACATTTCCATTTAAGCGTACTTGTTTATATGCAGCTGGCTATAAATGTGTATCTTCTGTTTGAATGTATCTACAATAAAATGTATGAGAGGAACATGTATATATGTAAATTGGAAAAATATGAACTCTTTGGTGCTGATATAACATTAGGTTTCTATGTTTAAACACACAGGCCAGAGTATGCAAAATGTTAAGGTTCTCCCAATAACAATTCACCCGTACTGTAAATATTTTATATTGCATGTGTAGCCTACATCTAATAGCCTAATTAGTATCTGAAAGTATTATATGTGCAGTCTACATGAATCACGGTATAAAAGCTTTACACATAAAATCACAAGAGGCAGGTAATTAAGAAGTCAGTATTCTATTAACACTAATTCACCCACTCTGTACATGTATAATACTGTCAACATTCATCACTTTGCAGTGATGATGAGTTAGGGTTATCCTGAAGACCGTAAAATTTGCATTCTCTGACATTTTTCTCTTACAATAATAAATTTGTGTTTGTTTAGCATTGTATTTGGAAAAAAACTATTTTGCATATGCTTTTTAAAAAGGTTTGTAAAATGTACTAATGCTGTTTTCTCTCACTCTCTAGCTTCTAATGAATGAAACCTTGCTTCACCGCCAGCATATCACTAAATGATTTCTTAAAGTATTTTTTTAATACAGAATATATTACGATATGGTATTATATAAAGGTTTTATTTGCACTTTTTTTGGGTGACCTGTGTAACTCATGAATGGCTTTAATAATAATTCATCCACTACTAATAGTCTGTGCTACCAGATAATGTAGTGTACACTATATATGGAAACACAAGACTGTAGAGCATATCAGACTGTATACTATATATAAGTTTCTAAAATGATATTTTGTTTTTTAAGGTCCACTTTCTTAGGAGATATCATGGCTAAGAACTTGAAAATACCTGGGCTGCAAAATTTGGTTCCATATACTGAAGGTCCCAGAGTACATGGATAAGTGTGTCTAGATCAGTTTGGGTCACGGTCTATGTCTAATAAAAACACTGATGAGCTGTGGGAAATAGCCCGCGGTTAAAAGGTACTTTTGCCTGGCCTGAGCTTTGATGAGCTGTAGAAGTGAGCCAAAGTCTCTCGAAGCCAGTGTGATTGGTTTGAATTCAGGGAGTCCTGGATCTAACCATACCTTACTTTAGTGCCTCTGTTTTTCATGATTGAATATTTCCTGTCCTGCAAC